TCCCGATAAATGACCCTCAATATTTTATTACGAATTTAATGATATTTTATAGGACAAAAGGTCGCCGGAGAGGGCAGAACAAGTAACTACATCATTTATCAACGCAATGGTTACAAAGAAACGATCATTCTTACCCCAAGTTTTGTTTAAGCATTGAGTTATACAAGACTAGAGGAGCAAACCACTATACCGCGCCTCGGAAAAAGTGAATACACTATCTAACCGCGAGTACGTAGCTTTGAAACCACTAAACCTTTTTATGTAAACATATATCTGCCTCCCTTACACAAGTCGCGAAAAACAATACCGTGGCTAAGATTAGATAAAGATAGATACACAAACATGCAATGGCGGGTTGGTATTGCCTACTAAATGAAATTTAATCCAAAATAAGCAATATAAAGGAGGTTTTTTTAAGCTGCAGTTATTTGTTTTTATTTTAATTATGTATCTTTTCTTATCCGATGAATAGAAGTAAGCATAAGTAATGAAATGAAAGATGTTTTTTTCTAAGTATTTTTTAATAAATCTTAATCTTTAATAAATTTTTTGGTTAATAAATCAAACAAAAAAATAAATCAAGTAAAAAATCAATTTTGGGTTTCTAAATCAAGAAGATCTGTGTTTGAAATATGTACCAATTGAGAAAGCATCGGTAAGTCTTTGTCTCTTAAATTTGGTCTCATGACATTAGTTACAAAAACTGTGGTTATTAATAAATTTCGTTGATTTCTTTTGTTTATAGAATTCCCATACTATTTAAAAACTTTAAAAAGTTTTTATATTTTTTTTTGCATCATTACTGAAGATAGTTAATTGATTCAGGCTTGAGTTTGCGGAAATCCATTTTTAAGATAATACTAAATGATGTTAATCTGTAGTACTATTCCGCTTAAATAAACACGTTCGCAATCGCTTTTTGGTCTTAGTTTGTCTTGATCCCGAAAGTGCTTAGAACAAATGAGAGTAGATTTCGAAGACACCCAGTGAGTCTCCTTTCTCAGCAATCGTATTATTTCCACCCACTTCTTACGGGGTGCTGTATTTTTAGGTACTCTGGAAAATTATTAATATAAAATAGATAATAAAATATAATTAATAGATCATTCATGAATATTCTAAAATAAGAATAATTAATTCCTTTGTATAAAGGTTGAAACATTTTTATTATAATTTTCAAAATATTTATAATCAGGGGTAACAAGTTAATTTATTCTATAAATTATAGTCGTAGTAGTGTAATGTGGGAAAATTGTAAAGACAAAGAAGTGGCAACATTGATCCTAAATTGGAATATTCGATGTTTTATTTCATTTCTTTTGTGTTTTTCCGTGTGGAAAGTGATTGCGCTTGAATGATTATGTTTTTGTGACCTTGAATCGCATTCTTTCATATACACTCACGCCTGTCACCCAGAGGGGTAGGCAGAGACTATGGACTTCCATTTGGCACGATCCTGACACACCTCTCTCGCTTCCTCCACATCCATATACCTACGCATACACGATCGTCGGTTAAAGGTACTCTTGATTTGGCACATTTTCAATATATCGCCAATTTGGTCGATAAACTTTCGCCTAGGGCGACCCTTCCGACTCTGCCGTTCACCTCTGCAACATAAATTTGCTTTGTCACTCTTTCCTCGTTCATTCTTTTTACATGACCAAACCACCGAAGCATTCCTTTCTTAATCCTAGTCACAACATCATCTTGCAAACCATACTCTTCTCTTATTAAACAATTTCTCACTCTATCATTCAGATTCATCCCTAACATACTCCTTAATGACCGCATTTCCACAGGATTTATTCTACTCTCGTGCTTCTTCTGCCACACCCAACTTTCACTACCATACATTAAAGTAGGGACTAACACAGCATTGTAAATTGCCATACGTCGCATGATGTCGCATTCTCTTCCCAATTTCTACTGGTAACAACATCTAATTTATTGGACATCATGTAAACTATAAGCGTATCTCAGTACTCTGTAGGCTCGTTCAATGTTTAATGGTTCTAATATTTTTAAATTACGTTTTGAAATTCGTTGGAGCTTGAATGATAATACACTCATCTACTAATTTATTTCAACAGATTACAAAGTGATATATAACATAGTTAAATAAAGTGATTGGAAAATAATTTGCAAAGTGCTTAGTTACCTACGCACGTTAAAAACAGAAGTTTAAATAAGGCTACCAAGGCATCGTGTAACATTGCTGAAAAATACCTTATCGTTTTTCCATCACAATACCTTGTCGAAAAAGGCTTCATTGTGGTTACAAACATTTTGACGAAATAAAGAAACCGTTTGAATTCAAGGGACGCGGAGTTTAGGGCTGCGCTCACCAATATTGAACCTTTAACTAGATTGGGAGAAAGTCACCACAGGTTCATCAATCACACTGATTTTTTATTTTTTAATATTTATTATGAGATTTTAATGTTTCTTTTTATTTTAAACAATTATTATCTACTTAAGTAATTTTACGTAAATTGTATTAATAATTATTAATTATACTTGATATTTACTGAATTTCATGTCTATTTATTTTTGTTAAATTTTGGTGAGAAAATGATGTCAAATTACCTCACTTAACCAACCGCAAAGTTTTTAAATTGGTAACTATTTTGTTTCAATAGGAAAAAACTAGAGAATTTTGAAAGTAATTTGGCTATGGAGTCTGAGGTTTCAGTTCATATTAGTGAAGGGGTCCAAAATAGTACGGGAATCCCTAGTCTAGGCCACGAGTCCTTATTTTAGGATTTAAACTTTATTTTATTTGAAATAAAGTATGAATTAATTTGACACTAAATTATGAATTAGCCTTCTTTCTCTACTAACAATTATATGGTAATCAGTAATCAGTATTTATAGAACACCTGCTGACGTTTGGCATAATGGGCAATTTGCGATACGAGTGCTCTATGCCTATAGCTTGTTTACTTATACTCTAAGGCTGGACTCACACAGGAATGCCTTTCTAAATTCAGTCTGAATTTATAATTTGAATTCCAGCAAGCTGCCTCACAGCTTCAAATTCAGTTAAATTAGTAGTCTCGTCTTTCTCAGCTCAGGCAAACGTTTTGGATATGGATGAGGAATTAATACTCATCGCACTAATTTTAGCTATAAACATTAAATAATTTTAAATTAAAAATTTTATACAACCGAGTTCAATAAAAACTATTACGAATAACTCAAAAACAATTGGTCAGACCTTGATCAAAAGTATGTGGGACAACATGAGAAGCACCAGCTTTCAAATAGAAAAAGAATCATCGAAATCGGTTCTCCCAGTAAAAAGTTATGAGGTAACACACATAAAAAAACATATTCGAATTGAGTACCGTTTCCTTTTTGAAGTCGGTAGAAAAAATAGACGCAAACTAATACACTGGATTGGTTCTTTTAATATGAACAGAGTAAGGAAAGTCAGTTCTACATTACAACCTCACAATAAATCGCAACACGTGTAGCTCAAAGAGAATATAACCACTACGTTTACTAGCCGATCGCAGTTTAAAATAAAATAATTCCAAATTTGATTTCGGTGTGTGTGCTCGCGTGTGTATGAAATCATAATCTTAAATATTCCGATCCGGAATTCAGAACGCTCGTCAGTGTCATGCTTAAAGATCGTTTGGAGAATATCATAATCCGAAAAAATCGGAATCTGTGTAAAACGAATTTCGATTATGAATTCAGAGAGGCATTTCGAATGTGTGTTAGCGGCCTAAGATTAACATAGACTGACGAGTGAAGAGCTTCTTACTAGTTTGTGGTGAGGAGCTAAATCTCTGTAAAAAGTACATTTTGGCAACACTGTCTATTAGTGTCTACCATGGCATTGCAACTTAGAACATTATTTTACGAACAAAATGATACGTTTTATGTTCTTCCATCTACATTCCGTCGCGCTAGGCTAGATTTATTTTAATCTCACTAGAGGGCACTTATATATTAAGTCTATGCATACGCAATAATCCACGCGCACTACGCAGTTAGTAGCGGTCACTGGTTACGCTTAAATTATTATTAATATTTATTGAACATTATTTATTTTTAGAAAATGCTATTTTATCTATGTTTTCAGACAATGGAAAACTGCTAAAGGAGTTTTGGCGGGAAATTGACCGGCGGCGGTTTGCTGCTCCTGTATTATTATTTAATTAATGGTTTGAAGTGGACTTTGATATGTAAAAGTGTTGCGATTTTGTGTATTAAGTGTCTACGCATGTGAACTATTAGTGGAAACTGTGAAACAAGTGCTCTGATGGTAATGGATTCTCAAGATAAGCTGTTTGTTTGCATAGGCACCTTTAGATACCATCGCCAACTATCAGCTGTCTGCTGGATCAAGTTGCCGCCAAAATCTCTCAAGAACTGCACAATGTGACGCATCAACATATTGTGAAGCAGTATACTATGAAGGAGTGAGGAAATTACAATAAACCGAATAAAAATACTTAAGACTTGGCCTAAAGGTCTAGATACCAGGCCATAAACTCCAAAAAAAAACTGCTAAAATATTATTACAATACGAAGGTAAATTTCGCCACAACGCACAAGGTTTTAATAGCTCAGGTGGATAATTGGGCGGTCCCGAAATCTAAAGACCCCGGATCGCGTTCAGCAGATGTGTTTTTTTCCCTTTTTTTCAAGTTCCTTCTTTTGTAAGCGCCGTCTGTTATGCGAAGCACGTCACTAACGAAAATTAAATTTGAGTCGCGCATCTATCTCTAGTATATATACAGTAATCTATGAGTGTCTACCATAGAGTAGAGTAATATATACGGGAAGTGTCTACCACAAATTATAAATGGTGTCTACTGCCTACTTTGACAAAAATGTCAACAGCTGATTTTGCCCAATGCTCATTGAAAACCCATTGTAAACGAAATACGCTTTATGTATAATTTCTCTCTTTCTTTCCAACGTGTCCAATATCTTCCGTTGCATTTATGTTAATATGTGGGTATGTGGGTATGTTTTCTCTTGTTGTTCTTTGCGGTTGTGCAGTTTTCAATGTTAAGAAAATTATGTTCAAGCTTTATCCGTGATTAGTTTACGTTGTTTTTGTTACGTATTATTGGATTTCGAAGCAGAGGATACATTTAGTTGCATTTTATACAGGTAAGAATAATTTACGCACTGAATTTAGTTTTTGTAAGTGACATTCTTAGTGGGTACGTCTTTTTTATCAACCTTGACTTGAGTTTTGAAACCTTTCTTTTACTTGTAATGTTTAAATATATCTAATTTAGCTTCTTAATCATTCATTGTTTCGTTTTCTTTAATCTTTAACTTTATTCATGTGTACATAAACAATTTCTATGTGTCAACATATGTAACTCTCATTAGCGTATTTATTAAGATAAGCAGCCCTATTACCATTACCATACTATTGTAAAAATTAATGCTTTGCTTGTATGCTACATAGTCGTATTAGTTTTCATTGTTAACACTTTATGTGTAAACACAAGAAACAAATACTCATAGATACAGTATAGACTCCATAGATTGGCAACTACAACTGAAAAACGAAACCAAAAACTGATTGTCTTTGTATGTGTAGATTGTCAACGTGTGAATTAATATTGTTGTATTGTGATAATTTATCTATATCGATCAAAATAAACGTTAAATAAAATGCGACAATTTGAAAGATACTGTACTTATGTCATATCATATCCTTTCCTATTTTATGCATAAGTTTTCAGATTATAAACATACAAGATTCTAGAAAATGTATTAAATAGAGTGAATTTTTACTTTTTTTTTTGTTGAATATCATCATGGCCCTTTCATGTTCCACTTCTGGTACGCCTATAGACGGGTTGGTAGGTTAGGGTTTCGTTTGAGTTTTCTGAATTTTGTAATAATATTGTGTGCCTAGCCCTTTGCTCCTCGTACTTTAAAACATCTGCATGTTGTAATGGGATGAATAATACGAAGAACATACGAAGTGAATATTTTCGCTTGAAGCAGAATATTAACGCACAATCTTTTAGCATACACTACCAGATGCTCTGCCAATAAGCTACTTTTGGGTAACACGTAACTTTTAGGTGAAATTTCAGACTCGATTTTTATAGCATTAAAAGCACAATTTAGTGCAAGTAAAGTAATGCAGAGCTTATAAAGGAAATGTTAGGACAGAAAATATATTTACAAATATTCATAGTATATCTAGGAAAATATAGAAAATACTGACGACTAATACAATGATAATATTTGTAAGTACGAACTATCATAAGCAGAATGTTTTTTATTGAATCAGTTTGATGCATTCACATATGGTGATCTGTAGCTATAATGTGATGGTACGGATGCTCAGAGCTGACAATTTGCGACCGATGTCTGCCACTGACTAACTGTGTTTGTGTCGACATGTGACTGTATTTTTTTATATAAGGCAATGTTGATAAACCATCACTCAGTCCACCTGAAGGTAGCCCCTAGACATCTTCATTTATCCTCAATTAAGCATCAAAATGCAGATGCGTTGTCACCCTTGCGGATTAAGATGGAATGTCTCGTTTTCAGTAAAAAGGGCATCCGGTTCTCTACTCACCATATGAAACACAACAGAATTAAGCTGCAATTTAACGCTGGTATTCTGTGAAAGCGCGCTACCCCTACCCCGATCGACCCGACCCATTCATGCTGTACAACCATAACATAGCTGCAGCGTGGCTCTATCACGTAATAAACAAAAATATTGCTGGATGTTTATCAACTATAAATTACTGTTAGTACTGATTGTAAATTTATAGATTTACTAACAATCACTAAGTATAGCTACGGCCCTTCACACGAATCCCCACTCAGTATCGCCGAAACGACTGTCGGCAGGAAGAGATTCCACCACCAGTGAATTTTTTTTTTATTGAACCAATTTGATGCATTAGCATATGGTTGATGACCTTAGGTATAATTATATTTTTTGCCATATAAAATAAATTAATATTAACATCTACAGGAAAAAAGTTGAAATAAAATGAAGACACAAAAAATGTTTATTAAGTACCCTTAAAAATAATAATTTTACTATAAAATTGTCGAAAACTATATTTTTTTTTATAGAAGAGCATGCGGCTCACCTGATGGTAAGTGACTACCGCCGCCCATGAACAACCGCAACACCAGGAGAATTGCAGATGCGTTGCCGGCCTTTTAGAAAGGTGTAAGCTCTTTTCTTGAAGGTTCCTAAGTCGTATCGGTCTGGAAAATTCGCTGGTGGTAATTGATTCCACAAGGAAGTTGTGCGAGGGAGAAAACTTCTTCTAAATCGCACAGTGGTGGACCGCCAATCATCCAGATGGTATGGATGGTAACGCGAGTTTTGTCGCGATGTGGGATGGTGAAATTGAGCGGCTGGAATTAGTCCAAACAATTCCTCAGAGCACTCCCCGTGATAGATGCGATAAAATACGCAAAGAGATGCAACATCTCTACGCAGTGCCAGTGTATCAAGCCGATCAGAAAGAACTCGGTCGTCGACGATTCGAACCGCTCTGCGCTGGATGCGGTCAAGTGGAAGGAGCTGGCACTGGGGTGCCCCGGCTCAGAGATGAGAACAGTATTACATGTGGGGCCGAACTTGAGCTTTGTAAAGTTGTAAGCGATGTGCCGGCATGAAATACTGTCTCGCTCTGCTGAGCACGCCAACCTTTTTAGAAGCCAATTTGGCCTTCCCTTCCAAGTGACCACGAAATTGCACACTATTCGATATGTCGACGCCAAGGATTCTGATACTAGCTGAGGCAGCAAGGGGAGTGCCTTGAAACTGAGGAGATACGACAAAGGGGTTCTTTTCAGCGGTAAACGCGCAAACTTGTGTCTTCTGGGGATTAAACTGGACTAGATTTAGTCGGCCCCAATCCGAGACTTCAAAGACTCGACTTCAGACACAAGTTTGTCCCGGTACTCAGCGACGTTTTCCCGAGAAATATTGGCACGGCCTGTATATAAGGCATCACCAGTGCTCTCGTCTGCATAGCAATGAATGCTACCAGTTAGCAACATATCATTGATATGCAGGAGAAACAGCGTTGGTGATAGCACGCAGCCTTGTGGAACACCAGCGTTGATAGGCTTGAAATCAGAGCATGCACCGTCTAATACGACCTTGATGCTCCGATCAGCATGGAAACTGGTATACATTTGCAGAATTTCTCGGGAAGCCCATAAGAAGGAAGCTTCGAAAGAAGCGCTTTGTGCCAGACCCGATCAAAGGCCTTCGCTATGTCCAAACTAACGGCCAATGCCTCCCCTTTGGACTCTACTGCCTCCGCCCATCTATGAGTCAGATAGACTAAAAGATCACCAGCTTATCGACCTCGACGAAAACCGTACTGGCGGTCACTAATCAGCTGGTGATCCTCAAGGTACTTCATGAGCTGGAAGTTTATAATGGATTCCATTATTTTGGAGAACAAGGAGGTGATGGCAATAGGCCTGTAGTTGGACGGGTCTGAGCGGTCGCCTCTTTTAGGGATCGGGTGGATCAAAGTTGTCTTCAATGAATTCGGGACTACGCCTTGGGAGTAGGAGTACCGGAAAAGACGCGTTAAAACCGGTGCCAACTCCGGATCACACGTCTTCAGCACAATGGGAGGGACTCCATCGGGCCCACTCGACTTGCTGACGTCCAGGAATAAGAGTGCTTTGCGAACCGAGCGCTGTGTAAACCGCACATCCGGCATGGAGCACTCACATCGCGGGATGGTCGGTGGTCTGTTCCCCACGTCATCTAGAGTCGAGTTGGACGCAAAAAGAGAGCTCAACAGATCGGCTTTCTCCTTTGCGGCATGGGCCAGTGAGTCGTCCTCTCTGTGCAGAGATGGAAGAGTTGGCTGACAGAAGTTCCCTTGGACAGCCTTGGCGAGAGACCAGAATGCACGGGTTCCCGAAGGAAGGCGAACTAGCTTCTCGCCAATTCTGCCGATGTGCTCAGACCTTGCCTTGGCAATGACGCTTTTGAAGGACCTGGAGGCGGAATTATACTTCTTTTTAAGTGCGCTGGTGTTTACATCCCGAGACGTTGATGCGTCAGCCCAGGCCCGGTAGCATTTTAGCTTTAGCTTATAGCGTGATGCTATTTTACAGGAGCGACCAAACCATGGCCGGGATCTGCCACCGATGGGCACCACAGAGGATGGAATAAAAAGTTCCATACCCTGAAGTACCACATCAGAAACAAAATCTGCAACAACGCTGGGATGTTCCGGCGAGAAGCAAACCCGCCCCCAAGGGTAGGATGCAAGAAAAGACCGCATCCCGTCCCAATCAGCTGACCTATAGTACCAAACACGGCGGCAAGCTGCAGATGGCAACTGCGATTGGAGCGTGAGTGGCACCGTACTCCGGATCAGACAATGGTCTGAAGAGCCCAGAGGGGCATTGACGGAAACCCGATATCCGTCCGGATGAGAGGTCAGCAGAAGGTCCAACAGGGAAGGTGTATGATCCTCCACATCTGGAATCCGCGTAGGCGAAGTAACCAGTTGTGTTAGACCATATGCCAAAGCAAAGTCATAGACAGATCTACCCGCATGATCGTTTAAACGAGAACCAAGCCATTCAGCGTGGTGGGCGTTAAAATCACCGAGTATCACGATCTCTGCGGATGGGACCTGTTGTAGCACGGAGTCTGCAGCCATTTGGACGTGGTAGATGAGTCGGTCTGTGTCGGCATTACCGTTATGGGACCTATAGAGGCACCCGTAGACGCGGGGATGGTCGTCGCTGTCCACGCGCAGCCATAGGATGGACAGGTCCGTACATTCAAGACTGCCGAGGCGTCGAAAACAGATGTCCTTTCTGACGTATACGCAAACTCCAGCCCGGGGCACAAAGGAGTGTTCCAATTTGTACCCCGGGTAGGAGAGATATGAAGTATCAGCCGGAGAGGACACCTGAGTCTCGGTTAAAAAGAGCAAGGCCGGCTTCGTCGTCTCTAGATGGTAATGGACAGCGTTAAGGTTGGAATGAAGTCCCCTGATGTTGCAAAAATTCAGTGTGACAGGGGTCGCCTTGGTTGTATTGCTCCGCTTGCCCCGAGCAGCATTAGTTGCGAGCGGAATTTTGCCCCCCCCTTGAATACGCGGGGCAGCCTGAGCACCCACGCT